GCTCGTGCGCCGGGGCGGTGCTTTGCGCTCTCCTTTGGCTGTGCAGAACAAGAGAGAGAGAGAGAGAGAGAGAGAGCGCGCGCGGGTACGGGGGCACCCCTCGGCCCCAAACGTCATGCAAGCAAGCAAGCAAGCAAGCAAGCAAGCAAGCAAGCAAGCAAGCAAGCAAGCAAGCAAGAGAGCGAGAGAGAGAGAGAGAGAGTGAGCGTAGCGCTGTGGCGCAGGGGGGTGGGGGCACGACTCCCACTTTCCCCAAACGCTTAGCAAGCAAGCAAGCAAGCAAGCAAGAGAAAGAGCAAGCAAGCAAGAGAGAGAGAGAGACTGCAACTGTCTTTTACCGACACCCCCACAAGGCCCCCAAACAGGGGCGCGCCATCCGGCGCGGGGAGCTTTACCTGCTCCCTTGACCCCGGAGAAGAAGAAGAAAAGACTGCAACTTCTACTAGCCTTGTCGCCTAGGGCAGCCTGCAGCAGTTTTAGGCAATGAGTTGCCCCTGCGGTGCTTTGCCATTTGCAACTTTCCGCAACCCGCAACCGTTGGGGTCCCACCAGGGCGGTGTAGGGGGTCTTCCCCTACACCGTAGCCCTGGCGAAAGAGAGAGAGAGAGAGAGAGAGAGTGCCCACGGTGCATGGGGTGAGCTTGGCTTTCCTATACAGTGAGATGGTGGATCAAGGTGGAGCTGGGCTCTCTTGGCATGAAGGGAAAGGCATCTGCGACTCGCCACGCAGGAGCGCCCTTCCTTACGCGTTCCTCTTAACCCCGGGGAGAACTTCAGATGCCGTCCCGATTGGCGCTGGGATCCCAGCAGCGGGGCACCTCCACTGCTTCTAGTCGCACCACCATACAGAAACACTCTTCTGCTTTCCTGAGGTCTCAATCTAGTTCTTTGCGCAGGCAACAAAGCCAGCAGCTCGAAGCCCCGAGCTCGGATCGAGGTCTCCACAATGACAGAGGCATCAAAGGAAATCATCCGTCTGAGGGTCCCAGTTTTCGAGCACATGTCGGCTGACGACTTTGACAAGCTCGTGAGCAAGTCAATGTCACATTGCTTACGTCATCGCCTTAGCAACCCAAACACAGCGACACTAAGCAGCATGACGGCGCTTTTCAGGAGCTGCCGGCCGACTGGACAAGAAACCCGTCCAGCTCCCGTATGTCGGATCCCGAATTCGGCTGCCACTCCATCAGCTAGGCATGTCAGTGCACGCAGGTGCTGTACCGCTTTCGCGCCGATGCGCCCGGACCAGCCACTGAATCGTCCGCCTGTCCAGCATTGCTCTGTCACATGCAGGTCCGCTTCGAACGGCACTATGATGGAACCTTATCGGCAACCTAGGAACCTACAGTAGGGCCATGGGGCTAGCTTGACGTTGTGCTTGAAACTCGAAACTACGATCCCTGAATTCACAGCTGAGGTTTGACCGTTAAGAGACTCGTCCGAGTCAAGTATGGTTTCTAGTACTGTGTTGATGAACCCGGGGAGATCAAAGATGCCACAGTCAAACCGCCCATATGCAGTACCTGAAGAAATTACATTGCTGAATTGTCACAATCGAAGATGCCAGGCCCGATAGACGATGGTCAAGTGCATTGTCACCTTTGCTCGAAGACACGTCGCTTGAGGGTCGATTGGTGCGCCCACCGCCGTTTTTTTGTTGAGTTCCTTGTGGACAGTCTGGCTGGAGATGCAATCCAAGTGAACATGGTCTGCTGAGGCGTACAAGTCTGGCTATGATTGGACCATGCGGGAACGGCTAGACTTGCTCTGAAACCCTCCAATGCGAAAAATGCAAAAAAACATGATGCAAGAAGAAGAGCATGCATGAAGCTGGCGTTCCGATTCATACCTAGTTCGTTACCTGGCAGATAATTAGACCACGCTTGTTGAGTTGGATGATTGGAGGATGGGATGTATTTGTTCTCGTCAAGCAGGTTTCAGATAATGATGACACTTCAAGGACTCCGGAACAGGAATGTAATGTCTCGCAGATTTTACCTGCAGGATCTTCTTTCCATGCCATTGTCCTTACAACATAGAAGGGAGGGCATTGCCATGAATCTGTAGTGTTGAAATCGCTCAGTATGAGCTGGATGCCAAGGTTGCTTCTATTTCAAGGAAGACCTCCAGCCTCAGTCTTTTCCTCCTTCATATCGGTTCTGTCAAATCGAATCGCATGTCCTGTCTCCTCACGGTCTTGAGAACAGGTATTCAGTATCAAGACCAATTTGGAGCTCCGAGATTTGGTTTCATTAATATAACTACGTTCAGAATTCTTCAACAATAGAATTTCTCTATGCTAGGATCTGACATTTTTTTCAAGTAACTAAATAATTTGAAATTCTGATTCGACCAAGATGATTTTGCTCTATCTTCTAATATTTATATAGCAGATTTTTTATAAGATATCATAAATTTGGCTATATATTTATATCTATGTATTTATTTCTTGCTTCTCATTTATTCTATATATTTCAATAATATCTTCATATAATCGTATTCATCGATCGCTCATAATGATATGGAAATTGATGAATATTTCTCACTAGTATTTTATTTATTAATTTTTAGCACTCTTTGTCATCTTATATTATATATTTCGAATTTGTTTAGAAAGTTCTATGAATTTCAAAAATTCTTGTTTCTATAATAAAGGTTATAGAATATCTTTAATCTATTATTTCGATTATCGATTATGTTTTAAATATTCTAAATTGTTATTTTATAAGTTTTTATTATTTCTAGAATTAATATATTCTATTCTTATATATTTTCTCTTTATAGGATTTGATATAATTAGATTATAGAAAAATCGTAATTAAATAGGTTGTCTAATTTCTTAAGGTGCTAATAGAATTTGCATTAATTATATCGGCCGCATCGGGCCCGTCTCGCATCGTAGTGTCCGCCACACGTGCCGATACTGTGTTTTGCCGACTTGTACAGTTTAGGGTTTTTTTGAGATGCGGGCAACGTTTTCCCGTTTTTATATTCGATATATATATATATATTCGGATTAGATATTATTAATTTCGTCGAATATCTTCTCTTATTTTCGATATTTAAATGTTTATATTATATAACCTCGGGGTTCATATTGATTTCGATAAATGAAATATTTAATCGTATAAATAGGATGAATTTTAATATTATTATATAATTATTTTTATTTAATTAATGAATTAATAATTATAATAATATTTCCAGTGTTATGTACTATAATTAAGCACAATCTAGCCAGGACCCGGAACCGAGGCATTTCCAGTACTAAAGTTGTACTACAACCCAGCACAATCCAACCAGAACCCTAAACCAGACACTTCCAGCACTAAAGTTGTACTACATCTCTAGCACTAAAGTTGTACTACAACCCAGCACAATCCAGCCAGGACCCATTACAACCCAGCACAATCCAGCCAGGACCCAAATAAGGTATTTCCAGTACTGAAGTTGTACTACAACCCAGCACAATCCAGCCAGAACCCCAAACGAGACATTTCCAATACTAAAAATGTATTACAACCCAGCACAATCCAGCCAGGACCCAAACGAGGCATTTCCAGTACTAAAGTTGTACTACAACCCAGCACAATCCAGCGACATTTCCAGTACTAAAGTTGTACTACAACCCAGCACAATCCAGCCAGGATTCAAACAAGGCATTTCCAGTACTAA